TATAAAATAATAATTGAACAGAAACATTCATGTATAAAATAATAATTAACATTATTTATCTGAGGAGCAGCTTCGAGTTTAACTCCATCACAGAACTCTCATCTTGAACAAGCATGAAGGCGACAGTGGAAAGAAAAACTCCCTCATGAGGAAGAAACCTTTAGCAGAACCAGGATCAGGACAAGAGGACCATCTGCTTCCACCGGCTGGGTTTGGTAGGAACAGATACACAATGGCAGGTCAAGAATCACATGTTAAGATAGAAATAGTATCAAATGAAAACTTCAATTTTAGCAATTCATTTAAGGAAATGAGGTCAGTTTGTCCTCTAGTAGTCTAAGTCTATAGCAGCATAACAAGCCGACCCTAACTATAGGATTTATCAAAAAGGAAAGTCTTAAGCCTAGTTTTAAAACTGGATAATGTGTCAGCCTCATGGACAGAAACTGGAAGTTGGTTCCACAAGAGAGGAGCCTGAGAACTGAAAGATCTTTCTCCCATTCTGTTTTTGTAAATTCTAGGAACCACAAGTAAACCTGCAGTCTGAGAGTGAAGTGCTCTGTTAGGAAAATATGGAACAATAAGATCTGTAATATAAGATGGAGCTAGGTTGTTGAGGGCTTTGTAGGTTAGAAGTAAGATTTTGAATTCTATTCTGGATTTGACAGGGAGACAATGGAGAGAAGCTAAAACTGGAGAAATATGATCTCTCCCAGTAACTCCAGTTAAGACTCTGGCAGCAGCATTTTGGATCAACTGAAGACGTTTTAAAGAAATATTTGGACACCCAGATAATAAACCATTGCAATAGTCCAGTCTGGACGTGACCAATGCATGGACCAGATGTTTCTAATGTTAGTGATATCACGCAGGTGGAAGAAGGAGGTTCTAGTGCCAAAGTGAATAATAATTTGACTGTATTTCACCTTCGCTTTGGCCAGTAGTTTCAGGTTGAATTTGATGTCGCCTGCTCTGGCCCCTGGAACATATTTGACTGGTTTGAGTCACAGGTGCTACATTTTGGACCATGGAGCTGCCAACAATGAGAGTCTGCTCCTCGGCGAGTGTCTCACTAAGCACAGAAGACCGATTTGAAAGTTGAACGGGTCGGTGGTTGACCAAGGGCTTGGTTTTAATATTGTTTTTTCTTTGGACCGTCACCCAGTGAGGCTCAGGTTCAGGACAGCTAAGTGGAGGAAACTGGTTTGAAAAGTGGTTTTGAATGGGAGAAGAATCATTTGAAACATGAATGGATCAGTGGTTAGCTGGGCCTTTAGTTTTAGCTTTGGGCTTACTTTGGGCCGATACTCCGCAGGCCTGTGGTTCAGGACTGCTAAGAGGAGGAGACTGGTTTGAAATGTGATTTAAAGCAGAAGAAATATCTCTTGAAACATTCGAGACGTGAACGTGTCAGTGGTGAACGGGGACATAGTTTAGTTTACCTGGGCCCATCGCCCAGCTGCCTCTGTTCTGACTGCTAACGTGAGCTAGCATCGATGGCTCTGCGCAGCCTGGGGGCCCGGGGCTGTTAAAGGCTTTTCAAAAGCACAGTGGGGCCTCCAGGTCAGACAGCCTCTCCACCAGAACCAACATAGCTTCCCCACTGAATCTTAAGTAGGTTCAAACAATTTAACAATGGTCTGAACTTGTTGCGTTATTGTAATGTTCGGTCACACAACCGGAACGGTAAAAAGATCAAAAACTGACTTTGTTTCATTGTTTTCTCACCTGGAAACAACACGAGGGACCAAACAAAAGAGACACGAATGTCCTGGATATCAGCCGTGACACGTCCTCATGTAACTTTCTCCAGCTCCAAACACCTGCTGGTTTGTTCCACACATTCTGGTGAGTGGCTAAAGTCAGTTTGTTGGTGCTGTGCCATAAATTTGTGCCATGATTTTGTTGGGGTGTATCATGTTTAGTTCATGTTTAGTTCATGTTTAGTTCATGTTCATAGAAGTGGGCCAACCTGGTTTAGGTCAGGTTTATATTTTGCATGTAACTTAGTCTGAGTTTAGACAGAGTGGACATCTGTGTTACTGTGAAATAAACTGTTCAATGTTTCTAGTGTTGTCACTTTTACTGTAGTAATACTGATGTGTGTTCTGATATGTCCTCTTCAAGACAAACCTTCAGATGAAATGGGTGAAACTCCAGGAGAGGAGCTCAGTGAGGCTGCAGATGATGATGAGGAGGAACATGAACCAGCAGCCAAAAGGTACAAATACAATGTGTGAACAAAAAAAGAGCAGAAATAAACCACCTGTTACAGGAGAACAGGGAACTCAGGTCAGAGCTGAATAAAAACAGCTGGACAAATAATTTTAATATTATTAAATATTATACAGGACTTCATTGCTTTGCCATCTTGTTGTCATTGTTTAACACTGTTAGGTATTTTCTGCCTGCATAAAAAAAAACTCACAATTTCAATGGTTCTACTAACACTAATGCATCTGTTCAGCATCTTTTGAAGGTGTCACATCAAACTCTGTCTAAGACCTGTGCCTTTCTTTCCTTTCCAAGGGATGGACGTGCATCAGACAAGTTCATAACAGAAGCTGTGGCCTTCTCTCCAGATTATTACCCGGGGACGTTGTGTGGGAGTGATGTGTGCTGAGGTTACAGTCCATACATGTGTACATTTACATGGCTTTATAATGGAGATGGTTTTGTTTCAGCTTTTATGTAATTTCTTATTTACTTTTCATTTTATATGTTTTATATGATTTTCTATTGTTGTCTGTAAAACAGGTCTCGTAAATGAGTCCTGTGGCTCATCCATCCATCCATCCATCCATCCATCCATCCATCCATCCATCATCTTTACCCGCTTCTTCCATTTTGGGTCACGGGGGTCGCCGGTGCCCATGTCCAGCTGTGAGGGGCGGGGGACACCCTGGACAGGTCTCCAGTCCATCACAGGGACACATAGAGACAAACGAGACAAACAACCATTCACTCTCTCACTCACACCTAGAGACAATTTAGAGTTACCAATCAGCCTAACATGCATGTTTTTGGTCTGTGGGAGGAAACCGGAGTACCCGGAGAAAACCCACGCATGCACGGAGAGAACATGCAAACTCCACCCAGAAAGGCCCCCGGACCGGGGTTTGAACCAGGGACCTGCTCGCTGAGAGGCAGCAGCTCTACCAGCTGCACCACCGTGCTGCTCTCCTGTGGATCAGTGAGACTAAAACAAAGGTCGAATGAATGAAAAGAACAGAACCAGGGTCCAGTCAGAGTCCAGAACCTGAACTGGACTGAAACATCATGGACCTTCAGACAGACTGATGAAGTCCAACAGAAAACCACTGAGAGATCTGGTTCTGAAGGAGGTTCTGTTGGGTCAACCACTGACACCAGTAGTTTTCCAACAAAACCGGTTCTGCTGAAGGAACCACGTGACCCGGGTGAAAGTCACGTGATGACGTCAGAGGATGGTCGCTGATTCAGCTGTTTGGAAGATCCGGTTCAGACTCGGAAGTTTTTCTCCTTCAGTCACGAGTTCTTCTTTCGTGATTCCATTCTCGGAGTGTCTGTTTCGGCCCGGTTCGGATGCAGTAGAACCTGGTCCAACATGTCCCGTTTGGAGCAGGTTAAGCAGAGTTTGGACTCAGCAGGACAGGCTCATGTTCTGCGGTTCTGGTCGGAGCTGAGTGAGGAGCAGCAGGAGGGGTTCCTGCAGGACCTGGTTCTGTTGGACCTGCAGGCTCTGAAGGAGCACTGTGAGGCGGCCTGCCGGGCTGCGGCCGCCCCGAACTCCTGCACTCTGGACCCGGACATGGAACCGGTTCCCCCCGAGATCACCGGCAGCGCGAGGAGCGACCCGGAGGTCCTGACCCGGTGGGAAGACCAAGGTGAGGAGCAGAACCGGTGTTGTGTGAAAATCTGTCCCCCTGTGTCGGGAGCGCGCGCTGCAACCAGAGGCGGCTCCTCACGCGCGTGTGAGAGTCCACGGAACCGTGACCCGGTTCCGACTTTCATGTGAGTGGACAGCTCCTGGAAATAAATACAGGAAAAGCTCAACACAACAAAACCTGGTCATGTGTGGGGGGTTGTACATACCCTTGGTGTTTTGTTTGTTTGTTTGTTTGTTTGTTTGTTTGTTTAAATCGCTGCTACAACTTTGGTGTGTTCACTTTAGCCTGACAAGTATGAGTGAGCCACCAACATCTGTGTATTTATACTTGTTTCTTGCTCATATAGAAAGATGGAGGCTGGTGAGAGCAGGACACAGAAGTGAAACTTCCTGAAACAAATATAAACTTTCTGCTAAATCTCGTTCAAATAAAAATATGACACTTGAAGAACAGATCGTTCTAGCTGCTCTTTTTTGGTTTTTAATGTGTGTTTCTTTTTCTCAAGGAGAAACAAAAAGCTTGAACATGAAAGAACGTGGAACAAGATTTGAGCCTGAAGTTCACCCTCCGTGATGTTTTGGTGATTCTTCAATCATCGTGACATTTAGCTTCAATCATCATGGCGTTTAGCTTCAATCATCGTGGCGTTTAGCTTCAATCATCGTGACGTTTAGCTTCAATCATCGTGACGT